GTGTACAGCACTGTAGTGGAAGTGGCTCGTGTGCCCTGAATCGTATGCACCACATCCTGTGGGAGGCCCATCTTTTCTAAACGGATCCGTTCAGCGGCCAGACCCAAAGGTGCTGGCCTATTTCTGGGTAATTCATTATCGATCCTCCTGCCTGGAGGAGAGCGTCCCTCCTCCACGGCAGTTTCCATGGCTGACCCGATATCAGTTGCTGCAGATTCGGGAACCACGGGGCGCTTATACGCTCGGGAGCTACGAGGATGACTGACAGCTTTTCCTCCCGGACCCGGTCCAGGGTCCGTGGTATCAGTGGGACTGGAGGGAATGAATAAAGGAGTATTTTCAGCCAAGGGCTGTGAGCAAAGACGTCCACCCCTAATGGTGGGTAGTCCCGTGGGCTCAGTTAGAACCATAATTGACACTGGGCATTCTCCCGTGTGGCGGACAGATCCATTGCTGCTCGGCCGAATCTGCTCCAAATCTGTGAGATCAACTCAGGTTGGAGGCTCCAGTCTCCATGGTGGGGACCGCCCCTCGACATTATGTCCGCTCCCCTGTTCAGGACACCAAGAATGTACACTGCTCTGATGGAGAGCAGGTTTTTGTGTGCCCAACACAGCAGCTGTTTCGCGATACGTAAAAATTTGGCTGAGCACACGCCTCCCTGACTGTTTATGTAAGCTGCTATCACTTTGTTGTCTGTGTGGATCATAACATGATGATCCCGCAGTAGGGGAACAAAATGTTGAGTCACATTCCAGACCGTGAGAAGTTCTAGAACATTTATGTGAAATGACATGTGGTCCGGCCACTGTGCTCCCACTGCTTGGGACAGACATGTTCCTCCCAGCTTGACAGGGATGTGTCTGTGAAAACTGAGACATGTGATGTAGGCCTACTGATGGGAACTCCCTCTGACAGAATGAGAGGGTTTCCCCAGTGATTCCGATCAGTTCCCACGGAGGGGGGCACAGAAACCATCCGCCTTTTCTGGTGCACAGGATCTATGCGCAGGCGAGCGAACCATCTCTGAAGACATCTCATGTGAAACAGGCCCAGCAGAACCATGGCGTGAGCCGATGACATCATTCCCAGGAGCTGCATGACAGACAAAGTTGTCACTAGCGGGGTTTGACACGGCGGAGCTGAGCTGACAGAGCGTTGGCTCTCGGCTGTGATGAACGGGCTCTCATTATGGTTGAGTTTAGCTCCACTTCCAGATAAACAATCATCTGGGATGGCAAAAGGGAACTCTTTTCCCAGTTTATAGAAAAACCCAGGTTTAACAGGTGCAATGTCAGAATTTTGGTCTGCGACTGCTTCCTGTCTGGATCGAGCTAATAAAAGCAGCTCGTCCAGATAAAAAAGAATTATCATTCCTGCCCTGTGTAATGGCTGCAGAGCTGTCTCCACACATTTCAAGAACATGCGTGGGGCGAGGGAATAACCGAACGGTAGCCTGTTGTACTGATACGGGATCCCCTGGAAGGAGAAACAAAGGAATTTCCTGTGTTTTGGAATTATGGAAATGTGAATTTATGCATCCTTCAGATCTATGGAGGTGAACCAGTCGTTCTGGCGAACGTTCTCCAGCAGCTGTTTGATTGTCAGCATGTGGAATTGTCTTTCCATGATCGATTTGTTGAACATGGACAGGTCGAGAATGAGTCTCATCCCTCCGTTTTTTTTCAGAACCAGGAAGTAGCAGGAGTAAAACCCCGTGTTATCCTCTCCATCTGGAACTCTGAAAATTACGTTTTTCATCAGGAGTTCCTGAACTTCTGACTGGAGAGACGAGCTTTGTTCTAGAGATGACAGAACCGTCTCTATAATCCCTCTGAATGGTGGGGGTTGAGCTGCAAACTGCAGCGTGTAACCCCTGCTGATCAGACGGTTCATCCATCTGTCCAGGGAACACACTCGCTGCCACTGAGTAACGCTCGGGGAGTGTGCACGCGTTTTTGTGTTGTGTCATGTTTCTCATGGACGTCAACCAGGCTAAAACCCCTGCCGTCGTCACCCGCTCCGGAGATCCTCCAGGGCGGGTGACCCGTGGGGGTGGGGGGTGGGGGGGGGCTCAGACAGAAAGGGCTGTATGTGCGCCTCTGTACTGATCTACGGCTGCGGACTCACGTAAGAGCTGAGGTGAGCTGGCACGCATTGAGAGGAGGCGCGAGCACTTTTTGAATGAGATGCCGTTTCGATGGAAGCTGCAGCAGTCATGGAGAAACACGTTTACTCCCACTGCGTGGTGAGTGAACAAAAACAGCAGAAAATAAAACGGGCTCTGGATGAAAGCGATGGATTTTACCGGACTCGGTCTGCTGAAAAACATAATTTTAGCTGATGTGGCAGACAAGTGTTTTGTGCGATTTACCGAGCTGCGGTGCCTTTTAAAACACTGTTTAGAGGTTACCGGCTCATTCTGTGTGGGGAATGTGTGAAGACAGGCAGCTGTGAGATCAGTTGATCTGACAGTCAGGCTGGAATCAGATGAAACTTTACTCTCTGAATGGTGTTTCTGTTTTATTGCAAAACGGACATCATCATTAAAACCACACACATTCCCCCAAGGAGTCATTTCTTGGGCTGCCTCCTCCGTGTGCCCTGCGGCTGGGTGGGGGGCGGCGGAGGAGCGGGGCGTGAAGTTGCTGCCGCAGCTGTGGAGCGCCTCTGCTGCTGTCGCTGGCCACGGCGATCTCTCCAGCGGCCGAAGGAGTGGGAGGAGGGCTGTGACTTCACCAGGTGACGTGCTGACTCCAACACCTCCTAAGTCTTTTGAGACTTCTCCAACATGGTCCTGAAGCTGGCCCTGAACAGTGCATCTGGAGTGATGGGGCCCTCCAGCAGGTCCCTCTGCAGCCTCTCCGGCATGGATGGTGAGAGGTGGAGCCAGGTGGTCCTCTCATCATGGTCATCCAGGCGACGATGCGAGACAAGCAGACTGCAGAGGAGGCGCACATGTTCAGGATGACGTCAGCGGCTTTGCAGAGAGGGTTCTTTGTCTCCTCCAGCAGATCTGCGTCCTCTAGCCTTTTTGACATGCTGTAGGCCAGCAGGGCGATGTTGTTGTTCACCACGGCCACCTGGAATGAGCACTGGTGAGCTCGGTTGGAGAGCTTTGTCACCATCTCGCAGTGGGTGGGGGGTGGGGGGGCCGAGGGAAAACTGTTCGGTAAAACCCTCCACTCTGGTGATGGGGCGAAGGTTGAGACGGGTGCCTTCAGCTTGCCGGCTCAGCTGCAGCCCCGTTCCAGTATGACATCACAGCTGGAAAGCGGGGCCAGATGGAGTCAGGGCAACAAGCTGAGGCGGAGCCAAACCTTCCTGCCAGATCATCCGATTGGGGCAGAGGAAGGAGAGGGACGGAAAGTCCCTTTGTGTCAGCAGCCTTCTGGATTATGTCGAGCAGCTCCAGAGGAGGGCGCCAACGGCGGGAGCGGTGTGGTTGCCGACGTGGGAAGACCCGAGGTGGCTGAGCATCCACTCGGCCACTCTTCTTCTATCACTACGCTCTTCAGGAGGGAGGAGGAAGCGGGGCTGCTGCCCGCATCGCCTTTCTCAGAGAAATAATCAGATTCACTGTGCGACACTGCATCAAAAAAGGTGATGGCGTCGTCCAGCAAGTGGTGTCCCGCCATGGAAAAACACTCGGCGGGGCTGCTGTCAGCATCGCCGTTTTCGGAGGAATCATTCGATTTACCGCGTGGAAATGTGTTAGAAAAGGCCATGGCGTCGTCCAGCTAGTAGTGGCCCACCACGGAAAAACATTCCTCGACACTTACCTTGAACAAGGCTGCTCGTCTCTGCTTCTCCTCGGGAGGAGCTCACAGGGACGGCAGGAGGTGGCAAGGTTGGCGTAGCGGAGACCCAGGCATCCTTCGCAAATTTTGTGCCGATCAAAGCTTATGATGTAGCCAGTATGGCAGGACGGACACAGGCGGATGGTGCTGGTCAGGCGGATGGTGCTGGTGCTGGACAGCTTCTTCTTCTTCTTCATTCTGCAGTGCTACCTGGCTGAAGAAAAAATGGAAAAAAATGGGAGCCGATTGCCCGGTCTCACCGTAATTTATACGGACTGGGGGTGGGGCCCACACAGCCGGTGGGCGCGGACTAAAGTTTTCAGTGCTGTGCTGCGTGCGAAGGGGATAAACCCACTAGCGATAGCTTTAAAGGGCAAAGCCTATATGAAATAGAATGAAGGATTTACCTGCAGTTACCTTCATACAGATGAACATGAGGTATGTCCTGTATATCACTGTTGTATTCAGCTGATCATGAGGTCGGCCGCAGGGCTTTATCTTTTACATTTTTCCAGACTCTGTTTAGGTTTTGGAAATCGAATAAACTGTATTCCACTCTGGGGCTATTCATCTAAACTGCTCAGCGGGCCACAGTTACTTAGAGCCAGCAGCTCAGGGGCTGGACATCCAGCAATTAGTCATTATGTAAATAAACCAAGTATTACAATGATCTGTTACCTTTTAAATTTGTTGATTGTGTTGCACTGAATCATTAATGCAATAAACAGAACCCAAACACAGAAATGAGAAAAAAAAACTAACTTTATTTTTCAGGGGTGCTGAGTTCAAATTTAGGGGTGCTTGAGCACCCCCGAAAAGAGGCTAAAATAGCCACTGCTTGTTAAAGTTGAGACTGCTTACCTCATGTGAACTGTCCTCCTCCGTGGTCATTCTGGAAGGTTCATGAAGTGAAGCCTTGCAGCCAGATCCTGGACAAAAACAGGGACAGTTGTGCAGTCACATAAACAACAGAAAAAGATAGCCAAAATAAATTTTTAATGGGTCACCACCCATCGGGTCAGAATCAGACATGTTTACACAGCTTGATGTTTGAAGCACAGGGGGTTACTTTCCTGCATCTTCTTTACGCAAGCATCGTTGTCCGTGCCAGTTTTCTATCCTATAAAAAGGTGTTGTGAGTTCGCTGATAGGTGCACTTGGGTGTTTTCTGCCTGTGTATTGTTCCTCTGTTTGGACCAGGAAAATGTATGCAGCTCTTGTGCTTTTCATCTTCATGTGCTTGACCACCAGCCATGCGGATCACCACCATCCTTGCCGTAAGTATTTGCAATTACTTTGATTTTTTTTTTGGTACTTTTGGTACATATTCAGAATTTGAAATGTTCTCTGCATTGTTTAAATGAGACTTTTTTTCTAGATTCACACAATATGAGCGGACTAATGAGTGTGGTGAGTCCGTCTCTTTGTTGCAAGTGTTCTGTTCCTTCGATACTTCTAAAGCATTTTAAAAACATCTCCTTCTGCTTTCGATTTGAACCAGCTGTCCTCAAGGGGTGACACGAGAGCGTTCGGTGCGTTCACTTATGATTCAGTGGGCCAGAAGCTGCGGTTCCAATCCAACGAGAGCTCCCCAACAAACTCTTCGATTGGTTTGGATCTGTTGATGTATTTTGCAGAGGTCACTCACCTCTTCCATTTCAAAGATTACCTCTCAAAGCTGCTTTTGGATCTGAAATTCAAATCTACTGTATATCTGTGACCAACAGGGGATTTTGTATGAGATTGACAGCAAAAACCAGAGCTGCGAGAAAAAGAAACTGCAAATGACCTCGCATCCGCTAGACATCCCTGACGACGCCAAATTCTCTTCCACTGTGACCTACGGGAGTTCTTCCATTGAAGACGAGGGCTTGAAGCTCAATGTCTGGGGAGGAAAACTGACCAGCATGAAAGGTGGGGAGGATGCTACGAAGATAACATGGGTGCTTTTTATACACAGTTGTAAAACTTATTAGAGCCGAATTTGTGATTTTTATCTGCAGGTTCCTACACCATGTATGTAACCATGGGATGTTTGCCTGTGAACACTTTCTATTTCACTGAAACCACATCATTCTTTTTCAGGTCAGTACTTTCAGGAACTTTGCTGCACATGCAAAAACAGCTTGTTAAAAATGAATGCCCCTGCTACTTTTTTTTTGTTTTTACAGCAACTTAGATGTTGAACTTGAGATCAAGGATCCAGATCTTCTTGTGGTCCCCTCGTTTTGTCACGGGAAGCAATTGGAGGACACCCCTGAGGGGACAGTAAACAGCTTCCTCAACGAGTTCATGTAGACAAACCGAAAAAGAACCCTCCATCGAAGCATGACGTACCCGAGCTGTTGACTTGTCTCTCTCTCTTTTGTTTCTTCTGACACTGCAGTGCATCACGCCTTGATTCTGTCGCACCTTCCACCACCCCATGAGGCATAATAGCTTTGAGATCATCACACTGTGCATGCGCATTTTGATGTAAATAGGTCAAAAAGATGACTTAAATGACAGCATTAGTCTAAATCACTAACAACTCATGGTTTTTCAAGTTGATACTACTTATAAGATATGATTAATGGAACAATAAAAGGTCAAAGCTGTGAAGAGAGTGATGTGCTTTATTTTTTACAATCATGATGTTTTACAATTGATCATTTCAGACCCGATTTGATGTCAAATAGGGGCCTTGAGGCAAAAAAGGTTAATTTTATTAATCTTTAAATCAACATTTTCCTTATTTAAACATGCAATTTGTGTCATGTCACCTCAAAATCTTAGTTATCCCATATTTTCCCTTTTCCACCTGCACGTTGTTTGGGATGGTGTCAAGGTTCCAAGTATGTTTTTATTCTAAATGATTTATATTGATTATAAATCTATATTTTGAAAAAGGCTGTAACTTTTGTTTTTATGTAATGGTAATTGTCTATTTTAGGAAAAGTGAATTTAGAGGTTAAACTGACAGTGAGTAGCTGGAATAAGTTATTTTGTAGTTTCATCGGTTTTATTGACTCAGTTTATCTGGTGACATAAGTTTGCCTTAAACCCTAAAGAAATGCAGACAGTGATTTCAGGGTAGCTTATAGTCACTGTGTTGCGTGCTTGAAACTCAGTCAGAGGTTTGGTATAAAAAAAACTGAACACAAGTGAAGACAAGACATGTTGGTTTGGTAACAGTTTATTTGATTAAAGGACTAATGTGCTTCATGTTTTAATTAAATTAAATTCAGTTTATTCATATAGCACCAAGTCACAACAGAAATCATCTCAGGGCACTGAACAGAAAAACATTCACATACATTATAAAAGTCAATTAGTAAAAGTTCTCTAAAGAAGCCAGCAGATTGTGTTGAATCTTCACTTTGTCACAGTCTCCCATCCTGAGCAAGCAGAAAGGCAACAGTGGAAAGGAAAAACTCCCTTTTAACTGGAAACCTCCAGCAGAACCAGGCTCAGGATGAGCGGTCATCGTCTTCAAATGGGGCTGAGAGGAACAGGAAGGAAGAAACAAACAGAATGGCAGGTCTATGGAAGAAAGACAAAAAAACACATTAAGGACAGAAATAATTACAAATACAAACAGGTAGAGTAGAGCACGTAAAGACAAGTGAGGAAATGTGGTCAATTTGTCCTCCAGCAGTCTATGCCTATAGCAGCATAACTAAGGGATAGCTCAGGAAACCCAAGCCCACCAGGATTTATTAAAAAAATAAGTATTGAGCCCAGTCTTAAAACTGGACAATGTGTCAGCCTTATGGACAGAAACTGGAAGTTGGTTCCACAAGAGAAGAGCCTGATAACTGAAAGATCTTCCTCCCATTCTGCTTTTGGAAACTCTAGGAACCACAAGTAAACCTGCAGTCTGAGAGCCAAGTCATATTAGGAAAACATGGAACAATATGTTTTTGTATGATTACTAGGTTTCTCATTACTGCCTTCTGTGTGTCGTTGTGCCTCTTTGCTCATGTTTATGGTATTAAAACTTTTGAGCGTTTACACGATCTATGAACACTTGAACATTTTGTCCCACTTGGCAGACTTGTTGGCACGGATGGCTGTAATCACAACTCAAATTCAATAACATATATAGGCAATTGATCTGTAAAACCGAATGTGTTAGACATAAAAAATGGTGGGGTATTAGCTGAGACTGAGTCCCACCGTGGCAGGCAGGTGATATGCATTCCTTTAAGGAAAGATTAATTCATTCAAGTTGTAGCATCTGACTTTTTATACTTGTTTGTATTTCTTCATTAACAATTTCCTGCAGGATCAATAAAGTTTTATATCTTATCTTATAAATATGACCTCACGTCATCCTGTTTTCTTGCAATTTCTTACAAAAGATATGAAGATAATAGGACGATAAACATCTGATTTATTTTAAAAGTGGGATTCACCAAAATGCATTAGGACACATATTTCTGAAGATATTCATGACTAGTGGAGCATTTAGAGTGAGAAAACTGACTCTGGGCCCAGTTCTTCAACAAATTAGTTAGGTTTACAACACTGTAAAACCAAAACTTTGACTAACAGAGCAACAATAAAAACACAAATAAAGTTTCTGAACATTTCTAGGTGATATCTGCAAACATTATAGATAAAACCATTCCCAGCACGTTTAGTTGCTTTTTATGCTAAGTATTGCATCAGGATCTTTAAGTCACTATGTATCAACCAAAATTAATTACTTAATTTCACTGTAGTTCTACAAAATGCAATGACTCACAGAGTCTAGCAGAAAACACCCTTCTTGAGATATTGTAGATATTTTCCAGCACAAAGCCTGACAACTTGTCAGCTGCTGTTGCGCCCTCCTGCCTGCAGTACCCGGCTCCACCGACAGGTGGTGCACGTGGCGCGCACACAGAAACGGAAATACACGTTGTACTTTGCTATATTAGCCACCAAGGGGGCTCCTTAACGCTAGCTAAAACAAACAAACAAACAATTCAGAGATAAAAAGTGACAGTTTGTGCACGGAATTAACGAAAGCATCATCTGTGCACAACCCGAAGCGGTTACTGTTTTGGGGTGGTTTCTGCTCGTCATTGAATTAAAACGAGGTAAGTTGCAAAATGGCGGACAGCTAACGTTAACATCCACCAGGGAGTTTGTTATTGATGCTGTTACACTTTTTTTTTTTTTTTTTAAACTTACCAGGGACTTTGCTTTCGTGTCATCAGCAGTTATTACCACAGAAATGCACCTTTGCGGTAATAAATTAAAACCGACTTGGTAAAAATGGTGTGTTTTGCTGCTAGCTGGTTTTGAGTGTGCTAATCTTTCTTTTAGCTACGGCTAACGGTGACGCTAGCATCCAAACTATTGTGACGTTAAATATGTAAACAAAATATCAAAGGGAGGACTAATCATTTCGTAGTGCTGATAAACGAGTGGAAATATGTAAATATAGCTAATGGAGTGATTAATGTGTTGAGCTGACGTTTTTAAATGGATAACAAAGCTCGGATTAGTGTTTAGTCGTCATATTCAAACACATCGGACAGAGGGAGCAGGATTCACCAGCATCCCAAACATCTGTGCTTCAGTTTGACTTCATACCTGCACGACACACCTGTCAGAAGTGCTGCGAGATCAGCTGATTTGAAAGCTCGCGAATTTACCAAGTGAAGAACCCGGTGTGTGGATCCATTCATAGTCACAGTGCTGTACAGCCTGTCCTGACTACTGGCTGATGTGAAAAATACATCTCAGAAATGACTTCACAGGCGGTTCCTCCCTACAAATGTCTGTTCTAATGTTAAAAACAATGTATTTATATGGATCAACAAAATGACTTCGTTCAAAAATTCAAATATACTAAGCTCACATCAAAAAGACATTTTATTTATCAACTTTGATCATTCAAAATTCACATATACTATATTAATCCCAGAGGGAAATTATTTGTTGTTGTAACTCGTGATCCTCATTTCATTAAGAGATGTTATAGATACTGATGGCTGTAGACAGGAAGGATCTCTTGTAAAGGTCCATCCCACAGTGGATCCTAAGAAACTGGCTGCAGATGCCGTCCGATCCGTCCACCCAGACTCGGCTGGCCTCTCAGTTCCCTGGGGCTGTAGGACCGCCCGAATGCCGGACAGAACTCCTCCCAGAGCGATGGCCACTCCTCCCAGTCTGCCGTGCTCCTCGTTGCTGCGGATATCCAACTGTAGGTGCTGAGGGACGATCCTGTTCTTCAACTGTCATGAGCCGTGTTTCCTGCTAGTTCCAGGATCTCAGTGGTCAGGCAGTCGAGCACAGCTGGCAGGTAGATGAGAATGCGTCCACAGAACATCCTTTCAACTCATTTGAGATTTGGGGCTGTAGTTGAGATATTATTTGAGCTTTTGAGATGTTTATCAGCTGCTGTTGGTTGTAGAAAACTGCCTTGTTGCCATGGTTACGCATCATAACAAATGTCCAAAACTTAAAAAAAGTTTCAGTAAAACTCCTTCCAGCTGCACAGCATCTGATACCAGAGGAAACAATCATCCAAAACATGTGATTTACATCCAGAAAAAGAGGAATTACAGTTTCCAAAAGCAAAATTTTGGAATGAAAGTAACAGAGCTGCTCCAACATGCAGCCACCTTGAGCGACACAATGGAAACAGTGAAATACTATGGAATAGTATTAGAAATACAATGAAATACATATGGAAAAGTAATAAATACATATAGAAATACTTAATAAATACTTAATACTTAATTAATACTTAATAAATACATATAGAACTACAATGGAAACAGTTGATGAAGCATAAATATTATTAGCTAAAATATTGTAAATTCTCTATTGCTTGAACAATAATTAAGATTTTTAAAAAGATCCTAATTTGTTACTAATAAGCCCAGAGCTTTTAATATACTTCACATAATTGTATTCTCCAGATTATAACTTTTTCATGCAGATATGATGGTGGAGATGTCAGTAGAGGCACTCTCTTGTTCACAGCTTTGTTAACGTCATCATTTGATTCTTCAGAAAACTTGCTGATTTCTTATTAGTTCACTTTTCAAGGACATTTTAAACATAGAGTTGAGTCAAAGTACTGTATTAACAGAAGTCCAACAGTTACATAAGACTAAAATATATTTTTTCTGAGTGTGTCAGCTAAGTTTAATGATGGATATTAGTACCAGATTTCTCAGTAATTACTTGGAATATTTTTAACAGCAGCAATTGGTAAATACATGTAATATTCTTGATCTGAAATGGTCATTTTGACACTTAGTTCTGCTTTGAGGGTCTCTAAATATTATGATAAAGTGGCTTGTCATAGAGAGAAGTTATAACGTTATTGTTAAACAAAACACAAACTGGTTCTGATCCATAGATATGCATTAAATTACTTTAATATGTGCAATAAATGTTACAGAATAAAATCATCTAATTTCACTTACAATATGAATTCAAATTATCATCTTTACTTTTAATAATGCTAAATATTTTCTGTGGTTGAAAGTAACTTTGGTCAAAACTAATTGAATTAGCTCAAGGCTTCAAAGTTCAAGTTTATTTTCATTCGCATCATGTGGTACATGAGGTGGAACGAAATTATGTACTCAAGGTCCCAGTTACACCCTAAAACAAATCTACCAGAGTTTAATATTTAACTGTGTTCAGTTTTACCTGCATAAATCATGTTTTTAATAATAATAACCTTTTATTTTACCTGGTAGGTTGAATTGACAACCAGTTCTCATTTACAATAACAACCTGATCAAGAGGCAGCAACACAAGCTGACATAACACTAATTATAAAAGCATAAAAACACACAAAAAAACTGCATTCATCCATCCATCCCATATCTTTTCCTGCCTTTTCCTTTTCGGGTCGCGGGGGTCCAGCAGTTACTGTGTGAGAGGTGGGGGACACCCTGGACATGTCTCCAGTCCATCATAGGGATACATGGAAAAAACAAGACAAACAACCATTCACTCTCTCACTCACATCCATCCATCCATCCATTATCTTTACCCGCTTCTTCCATTTTGGGTCACGAGGGTTGCCGGTGCCCATGTCCAGCAATCACTGTGCGAGGGGCGGGGTACACCCTGGACGGGTCGCAAGTCCATCACAGGGACACATAGAGACAAACGAGACAAACAAACATTCAGTCTCTCACCCACACCTAGGGACAATTTAGAGTTACCAATCAGCCTAACATGCATGTTTTTGGTCTGTGGAAGGAAACTGGAGTACCTGGAGAAAATTCACGCATGCACAAAAAACATGCAAACTCCACCGAGAAAGGTCCCCTGCCGGGATTCAATCCGGCAACCTTCTCACTCGTGTTATAAGTCACAAGTTACTTTTGTCACTGCATAAGTCAACATTTTTAAATCACTATGCAAATAAAATTTAAAAAAAGCATTGGGAACAATAAAAAGAGTGACAAGCATTGTTTTAGGTTGTTGGCCTGCAAACTGTATAAAGGTGAGATGTCTTTGCAACGATTGAGGAAAGCACTGTTTTTTCCATGGTTGGTGAAGATGTTTTGCTGCTGTTTTTGTCCTGTTATTGTTTTGGCAAATTCACAGAATTTATCTTACATTGTCTCACAGCTGGTATCCTTTTTTTCATTCATTCAACCTTTATTTATACAGGTTAGTAGGCCTGTCGCAATAAACAATAAATTAATTAATCGCATGATAAATTAAAATTATTGACCTCATTTTCATTTATCAGCTTTATCGTTTCTTTGTGTCTCTCTACTGAAGACACTGGATGACAAAAGGCTCAACTCCAGTGTGCTTCACTGACCCCCGAGGACCCTTTTACTTTTTATTTAACATCTGTTTTAACCGTCCAAAACTGCGTTTTTGGATCGTTAAAAACAGCTAAGCTCAGAAGGTAAGCTACGAGCTAAGCTAACAGGCCTACCTCGGGGAAAAAAAACTCAGTCTTGTCGAAGCTCCAGAATTCACGGGTGAAATCCGTGCCTTCGTCTAAAAAGGTACAGGTCCTTCTCAAAAAATTAGCATATTGTGATAAAGGTCATTATTTTCCATAATGTAATGATAAAAATGAAACTTTCATATATTTCAGATTCTTTGCACACCAACTGAAATATTTCAGGTCTTTAATTGTTTTAATACTGATGATTATGGCATACAGCTCATGAAAACCCAAAATGCCTGTCCCAAAAAATTAGCATATCATGAAAAGGTTCTCTAAACAAGCTATTAACCTAACCATCTGAATCAATGACGTAACTCTAAACACCTGCAAAAGATTCCCGAGGCTTTTAAAAACTCCCAGCCTTGTTCATTACTCAAAACCGCAATCATGGGTAAGACTGCCAACCTGACTGCTGTCCAGAAGGCCATCACTGACACCCTCAAGCAAGAGGGTAAGACACAGAAAGAAATTGCTGAATGAATAGGCTGTTCCCAGAGTGCTGTATCAAGGCACCTCAGTGGGAAGTCTGTGGGAAGGGAAAAGTGTGGCAGAAAACGCTGCACAACAAGAAGAGGTGACCGGACCCTGAGGAGGATTGTGGAGAAGGGTCGATTCCAGACCTTGGGGGACCTGCGGAAGCAGTGGACTGAGTCTGGAGTAGAAACATCCAGAGCCACCGTGCACAGGCGTGTGCAGGAAATGGGCTACAGGTGCCGCATTCCCCAGGTCAAGCCACTTTTGAGCAAGAGACTGCGTCAGAAGCATCTCGCATGGGACTGCTGCTGAGTGGTCCAAAGTTATGTTCTCTGATTACAGTAAATTTAGCATTTCCTTTGGAAATCAAGGTCCCAGAGTCTGGAGGAAGAGAGAAGACACAGAATTCACATTGCTTGAGGTCCAGTGTCAAGTTTCCACAGTCACTGGGGTGTCCTGTCATCTGCTGGTGTTGGTCCACTGTGTTTTATCAAGGGCAGGGTCAATGCAGCTAGCTATCAGGAGATTTTGGAGCACTTCATGCTTCCATCTGCTGAAAAGCTTTATGTAGATGAAGATTTCATTTTTCAGCACAACCTGGCATCTGCTCATAGTGCCAAAACCACTGGTAAATGGTTTACTGACCATGGTATTACTGTGCTCAATTGGCCTGCCAAC